CCTAGGGGAAAGAGCTAACAGCATAGAGTGAGAATTCGTCCAACTACGCCCTATCTTCGCCTCGCGCAGGTGCAAACACGGTTCAGCAGGAAGCTCTATGTCGGGCAGGGTCCCTATTTTCGGTAGCGGGTTTTCCGCTTAATTCGTCACTTTTGTGCCATTCACCATTTTCTTCCCTATATTTGAGTCGCACATCTCACCATTTTCGTACGCGGGACGTGCCTTCAACGTCAGTGAGTCCGAATTTACGAGCAGAGCTCGCTGGCATGATTTTACAATTTGAAGGAAATTGAGTGTGCGGCGCATCCCGGGTTTCACGATCCTGGAGAATTTGATCTTCGTTTTCTAAGAGTTTGTCGAAATTACCGGAAAAATATCTTGAATAGTCCGTTGTATTTTCTAGCTTTCCCGTAAGCGTCATATCGGTAATGATATGGTGACGGTGGTATTCCAAGAGCCAGGCGCTCTTCCATTTTCGCCGATCGCCGTTCGAAGTCACTTTCAGCACGTATTTATTATTGTTCGTGTTCATAATGCTTGTACGGACAACGTTTCCTATAGGTAAGTTCATTCAAAGGCATCGGGCACGATGCTGTGGGCGGGCGGTTGCTGCCAACGTCATTGGTGGAAGGGCTGCGAGAGGGCGTTTGGCCACACCCCACTCAGCCCTTCCACCAATGACGTTGGCAGTAACCGCCCGCCCCCAGCCATCGTGCTCACTGTTTTTAAGCTCGTTGACAGAGCGCTTTGCTCGGTACCTTGGCCATTAAACCATGAATTCCTTTTCAGTGTTGCGGTGTCCCGATCCAAAGAAGTACCCGCGTTTGGACCGCCTCTCCCGAAAGGTGCCACATTCAGCAAATGTGCCGACTTTCACGACTGGCTGCTCACTAAAAGTAGCGTTCAAACCTTCTCCTTCTACAGTACTCCGGCTTTTCAGTTACATTTTTATTACAGTAATCAACGCTGAGAACGCGGTACATCGCTCGAAAAAATTCGCCACGATGGCAGCTCGAACTCGTCGCGAGGCGTTACGAGATCTTGCTGAGAACTACGTTGGCACGCATCAAAATGAAGGGCCGAGTCGAATCGCCAGTAAGTGCTCCATACGTTTTTAAAGCTGTGCAATGCTATTTCAAGCCAATTGCAGGTCGCTTCCTTGGTGGAAGCGTAAAGCGTCGTGAACGACAAAATCCGAAACCGTTCCCAGCCACTATCCGTGGGGCTTTATCATGGCTGGTCGACGTTCACGACCACTCAGTCAATCAGGTGTGTATTCTAGAGCACTTTGAAAGCAATCTTCACACCCACCTCCAAGGACGATCCCTCCCATGAGCGGAAAAATGGGTTCTCAGCCACACAAGTGTAACACCTTTGTCACTTAAACGCATAAGGGACGATAATTCGGTTTTCGGTCTAAAATGGTAGCAGGGGTGCTATATAGTGAGGAAAGAGTGAAGCGGACAAAAACGCTGCGAAAACCCGTTTTTTTCTACACGACTCTTGAAGCAATTTCGGAACGAGTTTTCTCCCTGGCACCGTGCCAATAACCGCTACGCTAGATAGGC